GGTGATCAAAATTAGCTGCAGTATTCCAGGTGTGGCCTTACTAGGGTTTTATAAAAGCGGTACTAATACCTTGTGTGATCTTGATTCTATGCCTCTGTTTATGAATTCTTAAGAAGCCTGTGTGTTAAAAGAAGTAGGTATTGGTTCAAGGACAAATGTGTGTCGAATGAGTGTGGACGGAATACTAAACACTCTGAAAGAATGACATTGGTTCACGTGGACCACGAGGAACTAATTCCCAAACCGATAAAGGAAAGAAGGATGAGTGGTCCACAAGAAGGCAAAGATGGAGGAAGTTGTGGGTGGAGCCTCGAAAGAGAGAGATGAGTGGTTTCAAGATAAGGTGTGATAAAGTCCTGGGCCAGGGTTTGTCCAACTTGCCCCCTTTCAGATGTGCGATCTCAAAGTTTAAACTTTTGTATCTGGATTCTGAGAGTCGAAGTCCACATCTCTTACAGCTGTGATACAGGAAGAAAGGTTGTAAAATGGAGCAAAATTCACTTAACAACTGTCTTGCTTAGCAACGGGAATTTTGACCAAAGTGGGGGTCATAAGTTGAAAACTACCTGTATTTGGAAAAACGTGTTGGCCCTATGTCAACTTTTTGGCTTGCCTGGGTCACACTGAATAAAGAGGAATTGTCTGGGGCCGCATATAAAATATGTAAAATTGTTAATGTGTATAAATAACAAGCTTTCTTTATTTTTAAATGTTTTTTTTATTATTATCCAGTGGGGCCACATTATTCACTGTCCAGTATTCCTGCACTAGATGAGTTTGGTAGAAGCCAGGCCAATTTGCAAAGACAGAGAGATGTCAAGAAGAACAGGGAATGGGTACTGGCCTAACTACAGAGTAAATGTTTTATTAATCCACCGTATTGGCGGTGGGGGTGGGGGCAAGAAGCATTTGTGTCACTCCCATCTGTCTATTCTATCCCAAAGTGCCTCAATTGTGGCAATTTAGTTCATTTGCATCAGAATTCAAGAGACATAAATTACATCACTTACTGTCAATGTACATCGTTATCATCATTAGACATCCTTGACATAAATTGATACCAATAATGTAAATACGATCTAATTCAGTGTAAATGTTGTGCTTTATCTGGAATATTTTGAATGCAACAAGTTATTGGGGGGAAGGAAGAGTGTTTAAACAGAGATCTGATCTACTGCCTCTGAAGTCTGGCAGATGGGATCTATTAAACCAAAAAAAATATTTTGTTTCTTTCCTTTCTCCCTTCCCTTCCCTTCCCTTCCCTTCTCCTCCTCTCCTCTCCCCTTCCTTCCTTCCTTCCTTCCTTCCTTCCTTCCTCCCTTCTCTCCTTCTCTCTTTACTTCCTTCTTCCTTCCTCCTCTTCTCTCCTCTGCTCTGCTCTCTCCTGTTCCCTTTCCTTTCTTTTGCATAATTTTACTGAATAAAAAAGGAAATTTTCTAGGGTAAATGCAGTATTTTTTCAACCTTGGCAACTTTAATTTGGCTGGACTTCAACTCCCAGAATTCCACAGGTTGCATGTTGCCTGAGGAATTCTGGGGGTTGAAGTCCACCCATCCTAAAGTTGCTGAGGTTGAAATATACCACTGTAATGTATACATCGATACCATATTTTATTACATCTCTTACAAGATGAACAGAACGTTGGATTGCACGACAGGAGAACAAGTAAAAACAGGACTTTCATTTCTTTAATCCTTTTGTGTTAGGTGCTCGCCCCCAATTTGTTACCTCCAAATATGCTCCACTTCTGTTAAACTAACCCACCCTGACTCTCCGTGTTGTAGTGAAGACGTAGAAAAAGCAACACATGCATAAAATGGCTTCTTCATCCACAAAACAGACAGTTGCGCATACTAATTATACGTTCAAAAGCCGGCAGACGTTAAGTTAGATCAATTGGAATTTGGCATCATTGTTTTGAACAGATGATTATGTGCCTCCTGTTAAAACTTTTTTTTTTTGTCCTTCCCGAATTTGCAAGCCTGAAAAATAATTACATCTCCAGTAGGAGCCACGTGTGTTCCAATTATGGAAACAACAGGTCTGCAATTTCAAGTAAACTTTCTCTAATAAAAATGGGTGGTTCTGTTTCTCCGAGACGAGTGATAAAAATTGAAATCTGTCATTACTACCTGGCACTTCCCCGCTCATTGACGCAAACATTTATCCTGCCATCTGTCAGGAACAATCCCAGCAAAGTCGTAGAGAAACACATTCAGGGAAAGACGAAAGTATAGAAAACTGTCAGTTCAGGCAGACCTCAATTTCCAACAGTTCACTTAGTGACCATTTGCAATTACGGCATTGAAAAAAGTCACTTATGACTGTGAGAGGGGAATATTTGTAACTTAGGGTTGAACTGTAGGTCCTTGGTGCTCTCTGAGCTTGGTGGTTCTGTTGCAGACGTTTCATGACCCATCTAGGTGACATCATCAGTTCTAGGAGGAAGTGGGGTGTGTGGAGAGGAGGAGGAGGATTGTGGGGTCCTTGGTGTTCTTTGAGCTTGGTGGTTTTCTTGCAGATGTTTCATTACCAAACTAGGTAACAACATCAGTGCTCCCTAACAACCCCATACGATTAAAAGTGTTTTCCAAACAAGATGTATTATACTGTTACTATTTTTTAAAACAACAACAACATGAGTTTGTAGCTAACTTTTCATTCAACTTCCTTAAAAATACTGTTTTTCTCAGGCCCTTTCTTATGAGAATTCACCTCTTTTCATAATGGGATTTTTGAAACATTACTCCACTGGATTGCTATATTACATTTCAAAGCACTAGCCAATATGCTGAATAGAATAGAATAGAATAGAATAGAATAGAATAGAATAGAATAGAATAGAATAGAATAGAATAGAATAGAATAGAATGGAGTAGAGTAGAGTAGAGTAGAGTAGAGTAGAGTAGAGTAGAGTAGAGTAGAGTAGAGTAGAGTAGAATAGAATAGAAGAATAGAATGGAATGGAATGGAATGGAATAAAATAGAATAGAATAGAACTTGGAGCCAATCTGATTGACATCACCAGTAGAACCTGGCTGAATTATTTGTCAAGTAAAACCCTCCCTCAAAATAGCTGATAAAATGGGGACAGTATAGAGGCGTGAGAAGAACATGTTGTGATGTCTACGGAAATTCTCAGTCATCCAGGTCATGGCTGTCCAGTTGCCTTTTGAAAAAGCACCTTTGAGACTACCAGCTGTGATGAATTTCCTTCATGGCAAGTTTCAAGTATTGACTAATAACAATCCTTTTATCCTGAAATCTCTTCCAGTTAATTATCCACAGAGCTGATTAATTACACTGACATAAATACTTCAGCTTGATGTCCCCATAAGTAGCTCAGAGTCAATGGACATTCTAAGTGCAAATCATTAATGTTTTTAAAAGATTATTCACAGTAGCCCTGTGTCTGCAAACTTAAGGGGAGAGGTGTAACTTACACTCATTTAGGAGCTGGGTCTTTTGGGACTATAGGCTCTGTAGACTTCTGGATTTTATCTTTTAAGATGTCCACTGCAGTTACATTGACCCCCAGCTGATGACCTTGTCTATGGAGATTTTCAATCATCCAGATCATGGTTGTCCCAAAAATATGATTTTCCAAAAGGCATGACCGCCATCTTGTCTTCCCATCCATGCTTGACAAGGTGAGCATAAATCCACAATCAGCAGGAGAAAAAGTATGGAATAAGACACCAGAACTCATGTCCCTGGTTTCCTTCCCCCCAACCCCCGCTTCTTTCCACAGTTCATTTGGGGGTTTATTATTTCCTTCCCTAGGGCCAGCCGAACTGACAGATCCCCGCTCCCGATACAAAATAATACAAAATTGTTAACCCCCCCCCTTAAGTCTAGAGAAACAACAAATCAAATTACCATCACTCCATTTGACAGGCCTGGCTTAGAAGAAGAGTCTGTGCCGCGGAGCACAGAGTGTGAGAATTGACAATGATAAGTCCCCAGGCAAAGATATCTGAGAAGACCCCCCCTCCCATTCCTGTCTGCCTGACATCTTGAAATATTCACATGAACTCTACAATCAGGGCCATCTTTAACTGGGGTGAAGTGCCCCTCAATCCCTGTTGCCAAAATACACAGCTTCTCCACATCTCTGCGTCACTGAAAACAAGCAGCAGAGCAAGTAAAACATCACAGCCCAAGCTCAACATAGCTTGGAGAAATGGGTTGTAGAATCCATAATATTGTGGAGAAAAATTGTGAGGTGGTATGAAGAGATGAGAGCTACCTTGCTCTAGCGGTTAAGGCGCCAGGCTAGGAAACAGAAGACTGTGAGTTCTAGTCCTGCCTTAGGCGTGAACTCCCGATGGGTGACTTTGGGCCAGCCACCAGGTGACTATGAGTTCTAGTCCTGCCTTAGGTGTGAAAGCCCGTTGGGTGACTCTGGGCTAGTCCCGCTCTCTCAGCCCAACCCACCTCATAAGGAAAATAGAAGGAGGATGGTGTATTGGATATGTTCACCACCTTGAGTTATTTCTAAAAATAATAAAGAAATCAAAGAAACATAAATAAACATGCTTGCAAAATGGGGGGACCCGGACAGGGTCTTGTGGAAAGATTAATTCTTTTCCTCCCCTTCTACAGAGGTCTTTGATCTTACATGATGTTGTCCACTGTCTTGGGGGTATCAGAGTGGGAGGGGGGGCAAGGAGACCCAAGGACAAAGTTCATACAATGCCTTCGGACAAGTCTTGGCTTCTCAGATTCATTGACCTCACAAAGAGGCTGGTGGGGCCATCAGCTAAATCAGGGGTCTTCAAACCTGGCCCTTTTATGACTTGTGGACTTCAACTCCCAGAATTCCCCAGCCAGCGTGCCTGGCTGAGGAATTCTGGGAGTTGAAGTCCACAAGTTATAAAAGGGCCAGGTTTGAAGACCCCTGAGCTAAATCAAGGAGGAATAAGAGACCCCATCCATTTTTTTCAGCCACCTCCATTGTATGCATGGTCTTCCGATTGCACGAGGGAAGGTCCCTTACCTGTAACTTTGAGTTCCGTTGTGCGTCTAATCAACTTCCCTTCAAACTTCAGCTCACAAGTATAATTTCCACCGTCTTCCTCTTGAACATCTTCTATTGAAAGTGTGTTCTCTTTCTGTACCACCACGCTTCTCCAGAGTTTGGTCTTGCACTCCTGAGGGGGAGAAGAAGCAAAACAACACAAAAAGATCGGCGATCCGCTAATGCAACTTGACTGGATCTTCAATTATGTACGATCTGTTTTATTTATTTGCTAACATTTCGGGAGTGACCCAGGAAGGGGAGTCTTGCAAATCTCAGGTCAACCTTGCAAATTTCTGAGGCCAGAGAATTTATCCACCCAGCAGAGGAAGGAAGGTTTGAGAGCAGATTAGAAGAGTCTCAGGTGGAATCTTTCTGTTTTTCTTTTTCCACGTTGGCTGGGAATTCTGGGGACTGTAGTCCTACCCCAAGCAGAACACCTGACCCTCCCCCCCCCAGAAGCTATTGCAATGTGCTTTGTTGCCTTATCTGCACGCCAGTCATTTTCAAAAACTCTGACTTGCAATCCCTGTCGTTCCATTTCTTTTTTCAATGGGCAATCTCCCTTCTGCTCAGTTTAATCAGGATGACAGCTTAATTGTTAGTTGTCACCCGTCAGGCAGATGTGGTGCAACTTATGGGTGGAACTTGGATAATAATGAGGCAAAAGACCACGGCATAGGGTGTGTTGAAATGTTGCTTCAGCTACAAACTCATTTGGCCTTTGACACACAGAAATAAATGCATGTGAATGTGTGGGTCACACAGATGCATGCACACACACACAGAGAGAGAGAGAGAGAGAGACAGAGACAGACAGAGAGAGAGAGAGAGAGAGAGAGGAGAGAGAGAGGCAGAGGCAGAAAGAGAGAGAAGAGAGACAGAGAGAGAGAGAGAGAGAGAGGCAGAAAGAGAGAGGAGAGAGACAGACAGAGAGAGAGAGAGAGAGAGAGAGAGAGAGAGAGAGAGAGAGGAGAGAAGGGGGGCACATGTATTGGAGGGTGACTCCCCAAATTTCCAGCCAACAGGATCAAACTTTGGAAAGGTTAGGCTGAGTCAAGAAATAGCCATGGCTACTTTCTTGTCACGGGGTATCACAATAAATGCTTCAAATTGTGAGAACAATCAACCAGTGAAATGGCTTGCCTTCAGAAGGTGTGGGTTGCCCCATCGCTGGACGCTTTCAAGAAGAGACTGGACAGCCATTTGTCTGAAATGGTGTAAGGGTCTCTTGCATGGGGTTGGACTAGAAGACCTCCAAGGTCCATTCCAGCTGTATTATTCTGTTATTCCGTTCTCTTTTTGACATCTACCTGACATCTACCCTTCTCTGCCCCCCTCCCCTGGACACACACACAGATATGGCAGCAGGGAAGGAAGAGATGACCTTTGCTAAACTGCTTTCTGGGTGACAGTTTTCAAAATCAGGATAAGGACCTCATGAGATTAGGACAAAATCTGCTTCTGTCCCTGGGGGCTAAAGGATGCCACTATGTTGTTCTTCTAATCAAAACCTTCCTGTCCTTGAGAGAGCTACATCCTTCGGTTGCCTCCTCTGCTAGGCTGGCTTGAGATAAATATTTTTCTCATAGGGGGCAAAGTTGCTCCCAAACAAATACAGCAACCACCCCCACCCCACCTCCCACTAACCCCCTCGGCTTCTGCTAATCTCTCCTCCCCACACGGATGTTGTCAGCCCTCCCTGACATATGACTAAGAATCAGAAGGTCTCTGCTCTCTTCTGACCTATTGCCAGGCTCTGCCTGTCGTGCTGGTTCCAGAAAAATTATTTGCAAACATTGCAGCACTGGAAACAAAGCTGATCACTTGAAGTTGCAATTGCCTCGTTCTGCTTTGGCAGCAAGGCACGGAGAAAGGAGGGAGGGAGGGAGGGAGGGAGGGAGGGAGGGAGGGAGGGAGGAAGGAAGGAGAGGGAACAAGGAAGGAAGGAAGGAAGCAAAGAAGGAAAGGAAAGAAGGAAAGAAGGAAGGCAAGAAGGGGAAGGAAGAAAGGAAAGAAGGAAGGAAGGAAGGAAGGAAGGAAATAGAGGAATGGAGGAATCCCAAATGAAATAAAAGAAAAAAGGGCTTTAATTAAGCCTACACAAGACCAACTCAGGAATAAAGATGTAGGCTGTCCCAAAATGAAAAGCCATCCATATAAAAAAGAGAGAAATCAAAGGAACAGTAACGACTTCTGTCAACTAAAAGTGTCTTTTTCCAGAATTTTACCCCTAGGATGAAGCTCATACTGAAAAGATGCTCCACCAAGCTCTTCCTTCCCAAAGTGTCAGGCCCCCTACAGTACTGAAGCTTGTTTTTTTCTTTTCCTTTTTAGGGAAACCTGAAAAGTCTGATGGCTTTGAAACTTTTTTTTTTCTTTTTTACAATTTTGGGTCACTGACTTCCAGCAAACAGCTTCCTGGTCCACCTTGCTTTATTTTCTGAGCTTTATTTTCTTGTTAGGCCATCTGCGTATTTTTTTTTTTTTTAATGAGTTGCTTCCTGTTAGCTGCTTTGGATGGCCAGAAAAAGCAGAGTAGAAATTCATTTTAAAACCTCGTTTTTGTTTGTTTGTTTGTTTCCCTTAAAGTATGGCATCATATTTGTTTGTTTGTAACGCTCTCACCTTATACCAGATAATATCCGGCTCTTGCTTGCCTGTTTTGTAATCCTCCGTATCCGGACAGGAAATGACTTTGGTCCTGGTAATTTCTGATTTTTCTAAGTAGCGGATTGTGCTGTTGTAACAAAGTCCAAGTTCATTTTCAGCGACCGTCAAGGACATGGATACTTTCATGCAATACGTTGAGTTTCTGCAGAGAAATAACAGAAGGTGGCGCCGGTTAAAACTTAAAATTGACTTACTCATCCTCTGAGTCAATTGCATTTGTCTTCAAACACGGAGCGTGCAAACATGGACGGAGCACGGGTATGAGCACGGGTATTTAGAACCACAGTGGAGCCCCACATTTATGTCACTAAGGGAGTTAAGGGAGTTTTGCCCCATTTTACGACCTTTCGTGACACAGTGAATCACTGCAGTTGTTAAGTTAATAACCTGGTCGTTAAGTGGATCCAGCTTCCCTGTTGACTTTGCTTGTCAGAAGGTCACAAAAGGAGACCACGTGACACCCTCCCCGGGATGCTGCGGCCCTCATAAATATGAACCAGTTGCTAAGCATCCAAATTTTGATTGGGGGAATGCTGCAACGGTTGTGTGAAAAATAGTGTTAATTCACTTTTTTCAGTGCCGTTGTAACTTTGAATGGCCAGTAAATGAATCATTGTAAGTCAAGGACTATCTGTCCTTTGAAAAAGCCACTGGATGGTGAATAATAAACAATGAAATTAGAAGCAGCTGAGTAAAAAGAAAAAGAAAAAGTGAGGGTATTTTGGCATTTCAAAATGAGAGGGACCCATTGCGGTCACCTGCTTCATTTTTTGCAAGTTAAATCACAGAACAATGAATGGCATGCTTGACGCCGTCTTTATTTGAATCCAAAGCAAGATTCTGAAAAATAATTTGCCTCTCCAGAGTCTGGCAGACGGGGGAAAAAAAATTAACAGTGAGAAATCACATTAACTGCATTAAACAAATTGATTTTTAAGATTTATTCAAGTTTCATTTCATTACGATTTTAGTGAGATTTCATTATAGTCAATTAAATAAAACTAAATTTAGCTTTTGACCTGTCTTCCTATATTCCTTTATATCTCATGCTAATCACATTTGCTTTAAAAAAAAACAACTGATTCCTACTCTCCAAATGAACGATGCACTAAAATATGCTTATTTATCTAGAGTTTTGGGCCCACTGCAGTAGGGGGGGTGTTCTCGTTTTAATTTTCCAATTCGGTAAAACAAGGACCCAGATTTGTTGAGGGGCAAGAGGCTGACTCTAATAAACCGCTTAGAAAGAACTGCAATACACTATGAAGCAGTATATAAGTCTAAGTGCTATTGCTATAAGTCATTTTTTTCCCCCAACTCTGAACGCGTGCTAAACAAATGGCTGTAACTTGAGGACTATCTGTGCTGGATCCGAGGAAAATTTAAAATGCAGAATGGAAAACTGGGTCAAATGCCTCCGTTTCACCAGACTAAGCAACTACCCAGAAAAAACAGATCACGGATAGTTGCCCCAGTCTTCGCATCAAATATTTACAGATCCGACGACGCAGCAACGTTGCAATCCAATCTGTCAGATTTCGAGTTTAATCAAGCAGAGTTGGGGGACGCATCCCTTTAAGACAAGACAGGGAAAACTGACAGATGCCTTAACGAGGGCTGAGGTTTTCCCATCGTGCCTTTTTTCCCTGTCATTTTAATTGGCTTCCCTGCGAAAGGGGATCGGAGTCAGACTGAGATGTTGAGGGGTTCCAAATTCACAAAGGGGGACACCCCCCCCCAGAGAGAACTTTGCCAGTGATAGACAGCGAGTTCCTGTTGAATGGAGCATCACCTCGGGATGCTTTTTCCCTGTTGAAATCAACTCTTTTAGAAGGTTTGATTGATAAGAAGTGGGGATAATTTTATTTATTAAATGTACTGGCCACCCATCTTACCGCAGGCTAACTTTGGATGGCTTAAAATGTTAAAAAAAATACTACAAAAATACAAAACAAACGGGGTCACACTTCATCCTCTTGAGCCCATGTAAAGATTCCAGACTAATTCCCCATTTGACTCCTCCCTCTGTCTTGGCCAGTCTCTCTCCAATATGTATTCAGGTAGTCCTTGACTTACGACTGGAAAAATGGGATCCTTAAGCAGCACAGTTTTTAAGCGAGGTATCCCACGACCGCACCCAATTTTATGACTTTTTTGGGGGGGGGTCGCGGCTTTTAAGCAAATCACATGATCTTGGTTTGTGAGCTTCCCTGCCAGATTCCACATTGACTTTGCTTGCCAAAAATTAGCCGAGAAGCTTGCCAATGGTGATCAGGTGCGTCCAAAGGATGCTGAAATTGTTGTAAATGTGAGCCGGCTGCCAAATGCCTGGATCACAATTATGTGACTGTAGGGAACACTACGACAGTCGTAAGCACTTGAAATGGTCATACATTACTTTGTCCAGCACCATCGTTAACTTCAAATCATCTCTAAACAAACAGTCAAAAGTCAAGGACTTCCTGTATGTATATGTTTACATATTTGTTTTCTGAGGTTTTCGCGGGTGTTTGTATGTAAGTCTTTGGTTATTCAGGTTTTCTCCCATGTAAAATTGGAAGTGTCTTGGCGACATTTTGATGAAGTCCCATTCGTCATCTTCAGGCTGGTGTTTTCAGCTTCGTGCTTCGAGGAGCAATTGCTCCTTGAAGCACGAAGCTGAAAACACCAGCCTGAAGATGACGAATGGGACTTCGTCAAAACGTCGCCAAGACACTTCCAATTTTACACGGGAGAAAACCCGAATAACCAAAGACCTACATGTTTACATATATGTATATACTCCACCATATTAAGACCGAAGGCATTCTCGGCAAACCTGAAGCCACATCATCAAGCCTATTTAGATCCCAACCTGACCACTAGCTCTTCCAGAAGCTTTTCTTCATTCACCTGCCATTCTCATTAAGCTTCTCTACAATCCGTGATCTGGGAAGAGTCATTAATAATTAAGTTGCTCAAAGGATTATGAATTTTCTTGATTAGAGAACCAAAAGTTCAGCCAGTTGGGAAGATCGGGGTAAGAATAAGTTTACGAGAATAAGTTTGTAACACAGGCAGCGGGTACCACCGAACACCTTTCGACAAACAAATCGGTTAATGATCTTGCATTATTTAGTTCATATTTTTCAACACCGCCTAGGGCACATTCTATTTAAATTGCTCGCTGGCACAAGGACCTAAAACTGCTGAATTCTTCTCATTAGCTACAATTAGATAAGAGTCAGATTGAGGAAACGTACCAGCCGATTAGTCAAACATTGCATGTACTTGCCCGGAGGGAGAAACTGCATTAGCAAAGGATTAGTATAGCACAATATACATTTGCACAAGTTCTACAAATAGTTAGTAAACCTCCGATAAAAGCTTGTCTCAATGACCAACTCCCTAGCTGATCTGGAATTTGTTTTGGCTATTCCATATAAATCACTCTAAGAAGCATCCGATTCTGGTTCAATTGCCAAGAAGGAGATATACAATTTGAGGGCACTAGGGTGAGTCTGTGCAAGATTCTTTTTAATGAAAGGAAGGACTAGGGGTGACATGATAGTGGTGTTCCAATATTTGAGGGATTGCCACAAAGAAGAGAGGGTCCACCTCTTGTCCAAAGCACCAGAAGGCAGGACAAGAAACAACGGATGGAAACTAATCACGGAGAGAACCAACCTAGAATTAAGTAGAAATTTCTTGACAATGAGAACAATTAACCAGTGGAACAACCTGCCTCCAGAAGTTGTGAATGCTCCAACACTAGAAGTTTCAAGAAGAGATTGGACAACCATTTGTCTGAAATGTTATAGGGTTTCCTGCCTGAGCAAGGGGTTGGACTAGATGATCTCCAAGGTCCCTTCCAACTCTATTAGTCTGTTCTGTTCTTTATCAGCATAGTCAACATTTGTTTTGTTGGTTGGTTGATTTCAGCCTAATTATATGCTGCTGAGCAGCTTGCAACAAAACTAACATCAACAACACAGAATGATTGATTCTTCCTAACGAAAAGAAGAATTAGGGGTCATATGATAGCTGTCTTTTGGTACATGAGAGGCTGTTACAGAGAGAATGAGGTTGACTTATTCTCCAAAGCACCTGAAAGCAGGACAAGAATCAATGGGTGGAAGCTCATTAAAGAGAGATCCAATCTGGAACTAAGGAGAAATTTCCTGACAGTGAGAACAATTAACCAGTGGAATGATTTGCCTCCAGAAGTTGTGGGTGCTCCAACACTGGAAGTTTTCAAGAAAAAATTGGACAATCATTTGTCCAGGATGATATGAGGTCTCCTGCCATGAGTGGGGGATTGGATTAAAAGACTTCCATGGTCTATTATTCTATTCTATTCTATTCTATTCTATTCTATTCTATTCTATTCTATTCTATTCTATTCTATTCTATTCTATTCTACTCTACTCTACTCTACTCTACTCTACTCTACTCTACTCTACCCTACCCTACCCTACCCTACCCTATAAAATAAAGTAGAGTCCTCATTAAAGATGTGGTTACCAGATGTAAAAGAATGGCCATCATAACATCAAATCTGTACCCCAAGAAAATGTCAGCAGAGGATCCTACTTTCCCCTTTGTACACTTATTTTGTTTCTTAAGTCAAATCACCCCAATTTTGTTTCTTAAGTCAAATCACCCCAGTTTTAGGTGGGGGAATTAGACAAATTCTGGTCTATTGTCTCTCCAATGACATCACTTCATCAATATCATGTCTTATGCTGTTCTTGGAAACTGAAGAACCTCAGAAGATTCTTGTTCAACCGAGCTTACTTCACAGGACTGTTACCAGGGAGAAAAATAGAGTTACTGTGTGAATTCTGCCATTAGTTTTGGGATGAAAGTTGACATATGAGCCCATGAATGTGTGGACTCCCCATCATGACACCCATCTGTTTTGTTACTGGTTCTCATCAAGAGATGCCTGAGAAAATGGATGAATTTCTCTCTACCTCCTGTATATTATTCCATTCCCTCTTGATCGGGGAACTGATGGATGTTTTTAATGGTATATTTGTTGAATGGCTGTTGCTAGCTTTATCGCAGCAGCTTTTCACCTTGTACTGCTAGAATAATAATAATAAAAAGCTGCCCAGTTAGTGTTCTTCAAGAAGGGAGTTGATGTTTTATATTTGTGTT